ACAGCCACTCTGGACAATATGTCTCAAAGTTGCCTGGGCGAAACTCGCTTGCCGCTACCGACCTCTCGTATAGCTGTGTAAACGTCTCCCTGGCCAACGTCAATTGCGTACCAGTCTACAACAATTCCTCCGTTTCACCTCTGAAATTTTATGCTCATGTATTTTGGTGGTGTGGTCGCCATGTTGGATCATTTATGGCAAACTTTGCATGTTTTGAGGCAATCTCTTTCCCATAGGTCTTTGCGCTTTACGTAACGCGCATCTAACTGTGCGGAGTTTGATTTTGAGGTAGTCCAAAACGAGTTTGGCGATAAGTCGGCGCTTTGCGACAATATGAGCCGGCAAGTTCCGGACAGAAAACCGATCTATGGAGACTCGTCGTCGGAGATTTTTTTTTTTTTTTTTTTTTTTGAGAACAGGCGAAAACTAATGTGCGCGCGGATGTCATCCATAAAATTAAATCGGTGTAGCCTAATTGAGAACTAAAAATTCACCATTTCTCATACATGTATGTGTAGATGCTCTAATAGAAACCGCATCCCCTCTGTTGCATTGTACCATTTTAATAGAAACCACGGCTTCTAATACTGATTTTACAGTACTCCATATTTTTAAACGTTGTAATGTTATATTTATATTTTATTACTGTATAAAGATTTTTTTATATAACATGTCTATCCATGTTTGGCTAAGTAAACATATATAGGAATATAGTATATATATAATTAATTTGCATAATTGTTGATAATAGAAATTGTGGTAATTCACTTAAAAACTCTTATTGCGATACAACTACACAAGTCTACAGCAATTTATCAATTTGATTTAAAAAGTCAGCAATGGCACAGTGGTAGTCAGGATAATGATTGTGACGGTGTCAGAACAGTTTGGTCGTAAAAAGAGCACTGGGGTGGTAATGAATTGTCTGGTTTATGCTACATGATGTGATGGCAGATTCATAAGTCACTTCCTAATGTTATTTCATATTTCATAATGCACAATAAGATTAAAAAACGGCTTATAGAAGAGATGATGCTTGCCATTATACGACATTTTTAACTACATCTGAATATGCAAATTATGTTTTCTCTGCTGGGAATTGTTAACCAATTAGGAAGCAACTTACTAGAAAGTTATCTGTAACAAGATTTGCTGTTTCAGTTTGATCTGAACAATGACATAAGTATTTTTTTAGATGAGACAACACAATGTCATTAACACCTATACCTGCATCAAATTGTGTTCCCACTTTGAATGATACGAAAAATGACTTTCAGAACAAGCGTAAAAAATACCATATACATGTAATATTATATCTACAATATAACTGACCTTCAAGTACATACAAAGCCCCCTAACTTTATATTGTTTGTAAATCTAGCTTAATTTAAGAAGCTCACCTAAATTCATATTCTTCAGTTAATTTCTCAAATACCAATCTACAGATGATTGGTCAGTGGATATAGCTAACAAATTTCCAGGAATACAACTTTAAACCATGTCCACATATATTTATTTATTGACAGTTGTTTGATCCTGGTTTAGTACTGTATGTGTATGAATCTCCAGCTGGTTATGGTCTCATAGCTCTCCAGATTATTGGTTGGCTCTGGTTTATATACGCCATCTTCTTCACATTGAAGCATTATCCAGAGAAAGGATCTTTCTACTATCCATTCTTCATCTTTTATACATTTTGGTGAGTTATAAAGATTTATCATATTTTTGTGGTGGTTCGGGTTACTTGATTGAGTGTTAGACAATTTTAACTTGACTCTTGTAACTCAATGAATGGTAAGAAGGAATCATAAATCATATTTTTTATTCATATTGGTATAAAAAAAGAGATGCAATAAAAGATATTTTTATTATTACATACTGTACTGTAGTTTACTTTGTTGCGATCTAAAAAATATGATTGGTATTTCCGCTGCCATTATGCAAATGAGCAAACAAATTTGAAAATGTCTTTGATGTTCATGTTAAAA